ATTACCCACCCTAGTTCGAACTAGGGTGGTAGTGTAGACATACACACAGCTCCTATTCACTGGAAACCCCCTCGTGGAAGCTGCCTGTTTGCAGGGCAGGCAGTGTGCAAAGTAGGTCCCCCCACACACACTCTGCTTCCTTGTCTGTATGTGCTGCCCTCCTTTTCCAGTCCAGCTCTTATTCTCTCTCTACTTAAGTCATTGTGTTCTCCTCATCTTTGTCTGGATGTCAAGAGGAGGACCGTTAAGAAAGTTTTGTGCCTGGCACCCCTCGTGGAAGCTGCCTGTTTGCAGGGCAGGCAGTGTGCAAAGTAGGTCCCCCCACACACACTCTGCTTCCTTGTCTGTATGTGCTGCCCTCCTTTTCCAGTCCAGCTCTTATTCTCTCTCTACTTAAGTCATTGTGTTCTCCTCATCTTTGTCTGGATGTCAAGAGGAGGACCGTTAAGAAAGTTTTGTGCCTGGCACAATGACTCCAAGCAGTCAACTGGTTGAGCAGAAATTACCTTACAGCAGTGTACTCAATCGCAATTAACTCATGATTAACGAAAAAATTAATTGCACTATTAAACAAAATATCCACTAAATTTATTAAATAATTTGTTTTTCTCTATTTTCAAAAATGATTTCTATTACAAAACAGAATACAAAGTGTATAGTGCTCACTTAATTTTTATTACAAATATTTGTACTGCAAGATGATTTTAAAAAAATTCTTTCAGTTCACCTCATACAAGTACTGTAGTGCGGTGGTTCTCTGCTTTTTGGCCAGTGAAGCACCTGGCTCTATGACACTTTTGCTTACAGTTAATCGTTTGATCGTCTATACTATTACATCCCTAACTGAGATCCTGATAAACGCTCAACAAGGAATTCTCAGGCACCCCTGATATCTACATCTCCTCCTCCACCCTTCTTCCCACTCTCCCCGCAGTACCAGTGCAGAAGTAGTCTTTGGAAGGGAATTAATCCATGTGTTTGACTTCGATTGTATCAGAGCCTCTATGGAATTGTCATCTTAATAACTAGTCCTGAGTCTGGAATTCACTTCTTAAAGAGATCAGGATGCCCATGAAACTCAGTTTCTCAAGGAAAGAACATGTAAATTCTACTTTTTGATTAGGTTTTTCACAATATCACTACAGTTGTTGTTTTTTAAAGGCTAGTCTCTGCAGCCTGCAAAGAGAGGGCTATATCTTTGCTTACACTTCATAAGTTTGAGAGTTGCTCATGCTATGGTGATTCTAATACAGTTCCCAAATGGAATTACGTCTAGATATATCTAAAGCTTTCTTTCTGGATATTCAGAATTTATTATAGAGCTAGAAGCTAGACGTGCAAAAACAGAACAGCACTTATTGATGCATCTTTAGAGACCTTTCACAACAACTTTAGATAAGGTTGTAAGAGTTTAACCGGTTAACTGATAAGAATTAGCTTATTGGTTAAACTCCTGGAAGCCTCGAGGAGCCCAAAGCTTGGGCAGCCCACAAAGCATTTAACAGCGTAACTCAGTTTCATCTGGTTACGTGGTTACTGGTTTTTTTTTTTTTTTTTTTTTTTTAAGTTTACATCCCTAACTTTAAACTGATAGCCAAAACAGATGTCATGTAAACTTAGTCAAAGCCTACTTTGTTTAATCTCTTTCAGCAGCATTAGAGATGAGGACAAACATTGTTAGAGAGCTACACTTGAGTTGAGAACTTGATTATAATTTGAGAATCCAGCACAACACCACAGGTGAGGCTGACTAGGAATGCAACAAACAAGATTTTGTTTAATGTCTGTGAAAAAGTTTTGTCTTCTTTTGTACAAATGTTTAATTATTATTGGCTTCCAGTCACCACAGAACCTTACTGATGCACATATTAAGTTGCACATGTTACCAAGTAGTCTTACTTCACTTCTAAAAGATCTGATATCAGGGTGCCAGTAGAAAGGTTTTATGTTACTGATGTGACTGTTTCTACAAAACAAGTATCTCAATTATAACTAAAGTTAATTGATTTTTCAAATTCTATCTCCAACTTGAAAAAGCCATAACTACAAGCTGCTAGTGCAGATTAGTGCCATGCTGCTGTTTTTTATCGGGGGGGGGGGGGGAGGAGGGAGTGAATTATTATGAAAAATAGAGAAGTCTTTTCATATAAATATAAAATGTTAAATAT